CTGTTCCTGACACAGGCCAGGATGCTGGTGGCCTCCTTGGCCACCTGGGCACACTGCTGGCTTCTGTTCAGCCGACAGTCGACCAACACCCACATACATACATACATACATCCATACATACATCCATACATACATCCATACATACATCCCCCCACCCCGGGGTCCCGGCCCTCCCGTACCTCACCCGGCGCGGCCGCCGCGGAGCGCGCGCTCAGCCGCTGCCCTCTCACCTCTGCCCCCTCCCGGCATGCACCGCGCCCCTTCCCGGCAGGCCCCGCGGCCGCCGTTGCCCTGGAGACGGGATGGCGGCGGGGCGGGAGAGTGGGGCCAGGCCCGGGCTGTGGCGGGGAGGGTTTAGCGGGGGCCCGGGGTATGTACTGGGGGCAGGTGTAGGCCGGGGTGACCCGGGAGCGAAAGGAGGGGTGTCGGGCTGGGGGTGGGAGCGGAGGGTGAGGGCAGCCCGAGGGGAGGGGCCGGCGCTTTGCCCCCCGGACTGGTTTCTGGGCTCTCCCCGCGGTGCGGCCTGAGGGCAGGCAGTGTGTGTGTGCCTTCAGCCAAGTCACGGCTGCCCGGCAGACCCCGCCGCGTGCCAGGCCCAAACAGCTGTAATTTCACACCACTTTGTCCCTATTGATAACCTCACAAGGTGATTGAAGTAAGCAAGCTCAGAGTGCAAGAAGGGAATTGATTAACCTGGTACTGTGTCAGGGTGATACTTGAAATTGAGAATAGTGATTGACAATGTAGCTTTTTTCCATAGAAAATGTATATTTTCCAGTAGCAAAGGCAGTATTATTATGGGAGGGGATTCTGCCCCTCAGCTCCACTCTGGGGAGACCCCCTCCCAGTGCTGCCTCCAGCTCTGGGGCCACCAACAGCAGAAGGACATGGAGCTGTTGGAGCGAGGCCAGAGGAGGCCCCAGAGATGCTGGGAGGGCTGGAGCCCCTCTGCTGGGAGGGGGGGCTGAGAGAGTTGGGGGGTTCAGCCTGGAGAAGAGAAGGCTCCGGGGAGACCTTAGAGCCCCTTCCAGTCCCTAAAGGGGCTCCAGGAGAGATGGGGAGGGACTCTTGATCAGGGAGGGGAGCCATAGGAGGAGGGGGAAGGGTTTGACACTGAAAGAGGGGAGATGGAGCTGAGATGTGGGGAAGAACTTCTTTAGTGGGAGGGTGGTGAGAGCCTGGCCCAGGTTGCCCCGAGAAGCTGTGGCTGCCCCATCCCTGGAGGGGTTCAAGGCCAGGTTGGAGGGGGCTTGGAGCAACCTGGTCTGGTGGGAGGTGTCCCTGCCCGGGGCAGGGGGTGGCCTGGATGGGCTTTAAGGTCCTTTTCAGCCCAAACTGTTCTATGACTCTATGATTATTGTAATGGGGATAGTTTATAGATATTTGTGAGACAAGCTTGTAGGTAAAGGTAACTGTCTCAGACACACCAGTCTGCTGGGGATAGCGTCCAGCATTCTGAGTACACAAAGGTCAGACCTGGAGAAAGGGCTTGATGACTTTTCCAGTTATAGTGATTGGATTAATAAAACCCATCACTGCCTGTACAAATTATGTCTCCTGAGTCTCATTTTTAGCTCCTTTTAATGTATTCTGTTAACTCTATGGTCACTTTATGGCTCTCACAGGGGAGATGCTGCAGCAGGTGTTGTGTTGCTTTTTCATGAAGGACTGACCGATTGTCACCCGTCCATGTGTGACCCTGGCAGGCGGTGCTGATGTTGGCTGTGGCTCGGTGCTGTCAGAAGCTGCTGTAGTGCTTTTTGTTAGCTGTTTTGCCAGAGGGAGACTCATTTTGTAGCTGACTGGGAACAAAGTGAGGCAGGGTCAGGTTATTTTCTGTCGAGGGGTAGGGCTGGAGCAGGAACCGGCCAGGCTACAGCCCAAAGCTCCCCCTGCTCACCAGCCAACAACAGGCACTTGAGTCATCTGTATCTTCCTGATACAATGGACCCTCTTCTTTCTCGGCTGCTTTGGTCACTAGGAAAAGAACAAGTGAGATGGTGCGTGCATATATTTGTTTTTAATTACAATATCTGGAGGGTTGAAGTACATCTATTAAAGTATTCATTTTGTATTTTCATGAGGTACAGAATCGTTAATTGTCTCATGCTTCTTGCTGTTCCACACAGGCTGGCTCAGCCAAGCCACCGCCCCTGGCTCGCTGTGTGTACACCAGCACTCCCAATAGCAGGGGGTTTGTACCAGCCTGAAATGGAACAGACACAAAAGTAGACTTGTGGGAGTGAGACTGACTGTGGCACGTCATGTTTAACACATTCCCTGTGACAGCTAAAAGAGACCAGAAAGCTGTTCTGGGGTAACAGCTCTGGAGCTACAGGTTGTGCCCGTACATGAGGGCAACCCATGATCTAGTTTATCCACAAGTTCATTCTGTTAACTGTATTTCACACTGTATAAATCCTCAGTGGTTTGGGGTTTGTTTTGTTTGTTTCTTTTTTTTTCAGCAGAAAAAAAAGTTAATTTGCACAAATTTTCTGTTTTGCAGAGCCTTTAGATAGATGATACCGTGTTCCAGCTCTCCCTGCTGGAGTGGTTGCAAAGCTGAGGTCTGTGAAGCAGAGGGATGGAGCTCCCTGTGGTCTGGTCACTTGGCAGCATCCACAGCGCTGGGATACACACAGAGAACCGAGGTGGGAATTCCTTGGATCTGTTTCTTTCATTTTTTACAGCCTTTTTTGAAAAGCGAAGGTAAAGTTGTGATTAAATTCTGATTTTCACTAAAGAAGGGAAAAGGACACTCTTATTCTTGAAGTACTAACTTGGAGCCCTACAGAAGTTAAGGCAGTTGTTGGTTTTCACACGAGCAGTGAACACTGTTCACAGATACTTAGATTTTAAAGGCTGGAAGTGATCAATAGGTTTCCCGGTCTGACCTGGACAATGGGTGACTTCACCAGAATTTATCTCAGTAACTTGTTCAAATAAACCCTCTCTACTCTAAGGTGAGCCAGCTTGGATGGCCAACATCGAGAAAGAGAGAACGTGTCACTGTCCCTGGCAGGGAAGCATTTCCCATGGCAGGAAATGGCTTCTTAAATTTAAGTGCTCAATTTCCAACACGATTTTTTCCTCATGTATCTACGTGCGTATAACCTCATTCACTAAGGATTTTATTCCACCCATGGACCTCAGCAACTTCCTTTAGTGAAGTCCTTGTAAGTGAGGTTTGTGTATGAGCTGCCTGGAGTTTGCTTTATAAACTCACTGATCACTTCTTTCCAGCATGAGCCTCTGGGTGTGATCTCCTGTTTAACCAAGACACTCATCAATATTAGACAAATCTTGCAGCCCTGTCCTTTAAGAGTCCTCTGCTGGCTGTCAACTGGAACTGGATCACTCAGGACAGATAATTAAGAAGAAAGGATGGTTAT